GGACCTCGGGAGGCAAGATGTTCCATAGGGCGGGAGCCACAGCAGAAAAGGCCCTCTGCCTAGACCCCACCAATCAAAATTCCTTGACCGGTGGGGTCTGCAACCTGCTGGACCGAGTGGGACAGGCTGAAGTAACCAGGGCGAGAGTTTTACTTGTTATATTTATATACTGCCTTTTGTTTGGGAGCTCCAGCATACAGAATTCTCTCCTCCCATTTTCTCCTTCAACTGCCCTATGAGGTAGGCTGGACTGAGAGGCACTGACTAATATTGAGTCACCCACTGAGCTTGGATCTTCCCAGTACCACTCCAACACCATAACCACTATAGCATGCTGGCTCTCATTAACCTTAATCCAAATGTATTTCCACTGGGACAAAATGCTATCATTTTGAGCTGGTTTATGAACAAGCAAGATAAAAATAGAGGCATCTGAAGAAAAAGAGAAGTGTAATAGAAATGCAGAGTTAATGCTATCAAAGTATTTTGGATTATAAGATTTGTTTCAGTGGAAAGAGGGAAAAAAATGCTGGTTCTTGAATACCATAATAATAGACATGTCTTCGGTGTTTCTAAGGTGCTATAGCACAGCATTATTTTGATGTAAAAGGATTATCCCATTAGAATAAATGACATTTGGCTCACATAAGTGCAGAGACACTTAATAAAAAAGCTTTTCAGAGATTATAATCCATTGTGAAAACAAAAAGTTACACAAGATAGGCAGCATTTAAAGTACATCTGGTTTTCACTGGCCCAGTAAGCCTCCTACATCTGTACAGAATCCAATTTTATTACAAACGAAGACTTCTGAGAACACCGGGATATGCCTTTGAAATTCTACATTTGTTTATGCAGCAATGAAGGTTATTCAACAGGCTTAATACTTCCTTGGGTCTGTGCTTTCAATAGCTGAATAAATCTGGTAATACATCTTAGTACTGTCCTGATAGTAGAAGACTCACCTGGTGAAAATTGCCCTTCCTGTGCAACATTGCCAAGATAAGGGCTTTTCTGTACCAAATATGACAATACTTAAGTTCACACATACAAATTAGCTACTTCAGAATGTAGAAAACAGTTCTTACCTTTGGCCTCCCTAGTTCAGTTCTGTCAGCTCATATCTTCAGCCACTCTAAATCAGTACTATCAAAAGCTGATCTTACATAAAATCTCTGTGTGTGAACTATGCCTGTCTGCAAGCTTCAACTCCCAAATGTTATGATTCCACATTAGAGTACCGGAATCAAAGATACTGCTTGGAAGTGTCCTTACATGGGCGCTCCAAACCGCCAATAAAAGTTATGCCTGGGGTTTACATAAGAGTAACATCAGCCTCAGGATACAGGATCCTCATTGGACTAATTGATTGGGCTCCATTCTGTCTGCCAAAGAAAATGGTACTGAAGGTTCAAATATTTTCCTTCTAATGCAGAAATTCACATTTATAAGACTTCTTCAAATCTTAGACAAAGACTGGAACAGATTTCTCTTATCAGCAGTAATGGAGGTGAAAATGTACTGATGCCTAGCTTACTTTACCTGGCCCATGCACCTCCCAGAAAAGAGAAGGAAAAAGAAATCACACCTTTAGCCTGTGTAGCAACAGTCCCAGCTCTGCTGAAAACTGCAATCTATTGCTTGTCTGAGATGCAGCTGCTTTTACTAATGAGCAAAGAAAACTGTTGCCATTAAGTGATGACATGCTGAAGGTTTCAACAAAGCTAGGACCTGTATCTGATGATCATCTTCTCCTGTTAGTCCTCAAGAAAAAGAATCTACTTCTTTCCATTACATTCCAAGTCAAAAAGAAGAAAACAATTTCACATTTTCTCATCAGGAAAATACCAACTGAACTTTTTGAATAACTTAAGAAGTTCATCAAATAAACATTTGTATACCAATGCATCCCTTGAATAATTCCAACACAGTCACTGCCATAGAAAAAATAATTATTTTAAACTGCCTGTTAAGTAGTATATTCAGTTAAAAACTTATATAATGCAACTGTTGCTGCATTTTGCAAATAATTTCTCTTTGTGTGGGTGTGCCTTTGAGTCAGTCTTAATTCCTGGAAACTGCCTAGATAAGTCCTTCCAGTTTTCTTGGCAAGATTTTCAGAAATGGTTTGCCCTTGTCTTTTTCCTAGAGCTGAGACAGAAGGACTGTCCCAAAGTCACCCATCTGGGTTTCGTGTCCAAGGCAGAATTAAAACTTATGATCTCCCAGTTTCCAGCCTGATCCCTTAACCACTACAGCAAGCTAGCTCTCTTTGCAAGTCATAATGTCCTTCATATTTTCCATAGTACTGCAGACTTTGAAAGTGAGCCCACAAGGCCATGCTATTATTAGTTCTTAGACATTCTTTATTCCTTCATGAAAGAAGGAAAAGATCTTCAGGAAAATATCCACTTGCTCCAATATTGTCAAATATTATTTTAGGTAATAATAATTGCTGAGATCATAGTAAACTACAACTGCCAAACTGTGGCCAAAACAAATAGACTTATTATGTGGTATATTATGTGCTATATTCTTCCAATGATGCAAAACTTCCCTTCTCCTGTAGGATTAAATAATATTCCAGTTGTCTTAGTTGGGGGCGATGACAAAGTTTATAGGGTTTGATGCATCTCAGTGTAGAAACTTCTTTTTTAAAAAAACTCTTAAACGAAATTAAAATGGAGCCATTAGCTCATCCCTGGCATCTTCCAGATAAACTAATCTACCAGAGGCAAATTAACACTTTTGTATAAAGTGTCAGTAGCCTTTCAGCATTTAATGTATGCATTCGTACAAACTGAAAAACCACTCCCTTTCCTCACAATTTCTGCCTTCCCTGTGAGATCTTTTGACCCTTTTACAGAATGCATTAAAAGCATTAAAATCTGTTTCCAAGGAGGTCATCAAGGGAAACGTTATATATGACAGCACATTGTTTTAATTATCTGTTCTCTAAAAAGCACCACAGGCGCTGGCAGTCAATTTTTTCCTCACTGTCTAGAAAAATAATGACTATACCACATTTTTCAGTGCATTGCACCTAACAACATTTATGCCACAAACCATGCTTGGCCACCCAATACATGCCTATGATGGTATGTGCTGATCAGTATGTCAGGAGCTTTTATACAACCATTCATAATGGCAATCAATGAATGGTATCCTGGAAACCTATTAATTCTTATGAAATCAGTATTTGAACAATGCAAACTAAGAACTATTTAATTGTAACTGCAGTTTTTTTTAGCATTTCTGTGGATCTACATGTGTGGGCTATGCATC